CTTATGGTTGATACAACAGCGATACCAAATATATATATATATATAATATATTATATATATTAATCATATATATTATATATATTTGCTTGTCTTGATATATAATAATTATATACGTTATATATATTACGTAATCTTGTCTATCGTAGTTATCGTAGTAAGTTTATCTATAGTATACTATACCAAGTATATATAGTAATACTTAATAATCGTAAAAGAGAGCAGCTGACGCCCGTATACAGAGAACGAACGGCGACATCGCTATCATCCGCAATAGACGCACACGCAGGAACACAAGGTTTACTAATATATTCATCGCTTACTTATCTATTATAACTGTACTTATATCTCTATAATGGTTTTACTCCTCCGCAGCTTACGGTCGCAAACGCAAGGTCTTCGTGATCAAGAGAGAGAGAGAGAGAGCGACTCAGACACGGCCGCACCACACCCCGGCTGAACAGCATCGTACATCTGTAAGATTCTAGGCTGCCGACGCACTACCGACGCCCTGTCGACGCGCTGACGACGCCCTGTCGACGCACTGACGACGCCCTGTCGACGCATCGCCGACGGCAGATATCGCAGCGCCGTCTGCAGCGCGCAGGACGCGTCGTTAGACGGCGCCGTGACGTCACAGCTCGCAGACGATCACGTAGCGTGCTTGAGTACGTACGTACGGCGTGCGTGCATGCCGACGTCTCCTACGTCACCAGCGCGTCTGACGACAGCCCGCCGCCTGCGCCGCCGACGTCAATGAAGCCGTCAGCACGCCGACGCCCGCAGCATCCGGCAGCGTGAGAAGGAGGGAGGAGAGGAGGGGGAGGAGGAAGAAGAGTGAAGAGAGGAGGGGAGAGGTGGAACAGAGAAGGGCACGTCATTGGGAGAAGATCGGCGCGACTGGCAGTGCGTAAGAGCGGCTGCGTATAACTACCCCCGCCGCCTCCCTGGCTCTAAATAACGCGGACACAGGAAGCCGCCGCCCGCCGCAGCAGCACGTACATTAGCAGACGAGAGCGAGAGAGAGAGAGAGAGAGCATGCAAGCGTATACGTAGTCAGCTGCTCGCTTGCTGCGGCCGCTGTACGTGTACACCCTCCAACCACACACGCCGCACTGACTTAAGAGCGTTCAACGCGACGACGTACGACCGACTTTGCTGCTGCTGCTGCTGCTGCTGCTGCTCACACAGCAGGTGAGAATGAGCGCAGATGTGCACGTGACAATCGACGCGTTGCCAATTAGGTAGAGAGGGGAGGGCATCGAACGAAAATTGGCGGCCATTCCGGTTCTCACTCCGATGCGAGTAAACGTCGCGCTCTCGATCTCTCCTCCTCTCTCTCTCTCTCTCTTTTTCTCAGTGCTGCTCGCGAGGCCACCGCTAATGCTGCCCCGCCGCTCATCTGCCAAGCACAGTCGTTAGAGCACGGAGATTGAGTGCGTCGTCGCGATCGCACGGTGGTGGCTCAGTGCGACGCGCGGTGCGAGAGTGCTGCCGCCTGCTGCTTCTTCTCGGAGCAACGACGAAAGAAAACGCGGGGCTGTGATTCGATTGGGAGCCGTGGTACGGCGCGAAGAAGGAGGTGAACAGTCTTGCTCATCTCAAATAGGACGCGTGAGAGAGCGGCAGCTCTCTGCAGCGGACAGACGGAGCGCGCGCGCGTGTGTGTGTGTGAGACAGAGAGAGAGAGAGAGAGAGAGACGACGGGAGCATGCGAGTCGTGCTACAGACTCCGCGCCGGTGAACCGCACGTGTGAACAGCACGTGAACACAGCACGCACGAGCCGCAGCCATGGAGGTCGTACGCATGCACATGTCGGCGCCGGCCGCCGGCGACCTGTCCTCCGACGCGCCCGCCAGCACGCTGCCGCCGACGACGCCGCCGCCCGCAGCAGCGCCGCCCGACGTCGTGCGCTGCGTGCCGATCCCGTGCGGCTACGTCGACGCCTACATGGCGAAGCCGGGCTACACGTTCGGCGAACACGGCGAGGAGCGACGCACCGACGACAACTTCTACGAGGCGTACGACGTCGCCGTCGGCATCAACATCGCCATCGCGCTCGGCAGCTGCCTGCTCGTCTTCATCGGCTACGTGCTCTACAAGCAGGTGACGCGCTGCTGGATGCGCGCCAGACTCAGTCGCCTGCTCGCCGAGGCGCGGCTACGCGCGGCAGCGGACGCGGCGGCGGCGGCGGCGGCGTCGCCCGTCGTTCCCTCTGTCGTCATCGGCGACGGCTGGCGGCCCGAGGACGCGGTGCCCGCGCTGCGGCGTCCGCTCTGCCGGACGCTGTCCAGTCAGTCGCAGCTGGAGCGCATGCTGGCGCAGCGCACGCCGAGCGTGAGTTCGTCTGTGCAGTATCGCAGCTTGGTCGCCGAGCCCGAGCAGCTGCTGCCGTGCCTCGTGCTGCCCGGCCGCGCCAGCTTGCGGAGTAAAGGCTCGCCTCGGCGCGGCCGCAGCGCCAGCAACCGCAGCGTGCAGCTGAGCGGCGACGTGGAGGTGTGCGGCATCGAGAGCTCGGGTCGGCTGCTGCAGCCCGTGCACAGCCACCACAGCCTCGTCGACTACGCGCGCAGTAACCGACCGACGGCGCCGGCGACGAGCGCCGCCACGTGGCGCCACTCGCGCTCGTTCGACGCCAACCCGCGACTGGGCTCGTCCGACCCGGGCCGCCGCTGCAACGCCTGCCAGCGCCTAAAAGATGACAACGTCGCGCTCTGTCCGCACGGACGCGTCGTCCGCGACCACGCTGACGTCACGCGCGGCGCCGTTGACCATGCCGACGGCGGCCAGACGCGTGCTGTACGCGGCCGCGACCTGGCGAGCGTCAGCAAGTGGCTGGACAGCGGTCAGCAGCACACCTGCTCAAGACACTTCTCAGGGGTGGCGCGCGCGAACTCGATGCCGGACTACTGCACGGCGGCGGCCGAGGCGGCGGCGGCCCGCGGCGAACGCGGCGTGCTGGACATCGGTCAGCCGCCGCACGACCCGAGCCGCCTGCACGTGCTCTACACGTGGCCAAAGCAGCGGTGCGGCGGCGACGACGACCAGAGCTCGGTGGCGTCGGTCAGTCCGAGTCCGTCCGTCTTCCTGGACATCGACTTCCCGTCGCAGGGTAGTGACTCCGTGTTCTTGTTCGACGAGCAGGAGCCGGCGGGCGGCGGCGGCGGCGGCGGTGCAGTGCGGCTGCAGCTCAACGAGACAAAACTCTAGCCAAGAAGAAGCCGCAAGTGGGGAGGCGGAGGCGCCTCCCCTCTCATCACCGCCATCGCTAGGGAAGGAGAGACGATCCGCTCCTGCCACCACCGCTGCTAGGGGAGGGCGCCTCTTTAGCGCGAGACTCTCCTTCCCGCCACCATCGTAGGAAAGGGCGCCACGGCGCAGGCGATATAAACGACAGGTGTTTTCAATCGAGCTACGATCAATTTCCCCCGCGCGCGAGAAAATCTTCGGCGAGGCCTATATATATATATGATAGAGAGAGAGAGAGAGAGAGAGAGAGAGAGAGATGAGACGAGAGAGAGAGATGAGAGAGAGAGAGAGAGAGAGAGAGAGAGAGAGACGATGAGAGAGAGAGAGAGAGAGAGAGAGAGAGAGAGAGAGAGAGAGAGTAGAGAGAGCGAGAGAGAGAAAAGAGAGAGAGAGAGAGAGAGAGAGAGCGAGAAGAGAGAAAGAGAGTGAGAGAGAGAAGAGAGAGAGAGAGAGAGAGAGAGAGAGAGGAGAGATGAGAGAGAGAGAGTAGAGAGAAGAGAGAGAGACGAGAGAGAGGAGAGAGAGGAGATGAGAGAGAGAGAGAGAGAGAGAGAGAGAGAATATAACTATAGGCAGAGCGAAAGGCTATAGTTCTAGAGCCATGTTTGCTACTGAGCCGTTACGTCGTTGACGATACTCAGTCTTTAACCACGCGCTGCCGCCGCGCTTGGAAAGCGAGCCGCTAGCTGAGACAATGAACGTCACACACAACACAGAGAACGACGCCATCATCGGACGTGTTAGACGCGACGCACGCCGACGTGCATTCGTTGACATTCGCTGCGTATATCGAGTGACGCGCGATTCTCAATTTTTGTAGAATCGAAGCCTCCAGATCGTCGGCGATATAAATCTTTAAATTATATTTTTGTCAAATTGCCGATTTTTTGCTAGGTATGTACATACGTCGTGAACGTTCTTGTGCAAAAACTGTAGAAGCGGTAATAATATTTACTGTATGATCGAGAATCTGAGATACAATACAACACCGTACTCAATTTATTTTTGTGTAGAATAACGAATGAAGCGAGCATACGTATAGGCGTTACTTTCAAAGACGGAAAGGTAGGGATAGGCATCTTAGAAGTATTCTAGTTTGCCTGAGGTATCCACATCAATGCTGGAATTCCTTAAAGATTTCAGATTTGCTAAAATCAAATTCTGCTAAATACCTATTCAGAAATACATAGTCTCATTTCAATAGTGCCTTACATGTACGCTTCATTATGAACCTATAGGTGTATGTGCGTTGTTATTAAAATCCACTCCACGTACTCTGCTCGCTTTAATTAAACATAAAGTCAATCGCGTAGCCACACGATGTACGTAGTTAGTAGAGTCCCTGTATATAGGATCTATATTTTCTATATACGGGGACTCTAGTAGTTACTATTTGAGAATGCTACTACTATACTGTCCTCAAGGTGGCAGCAGCATGCAGCATTACAAGACATTCTCTCAGACCCGTTAGTACTCTTCAATATTTAAGAATATTTTAGAGAACCGATGCCAACACGCTACGTTTAATATCATGGTAACGTTCGTTTTATGTGCGTTTTAATGTCATCGGCATATTATGACCTGGTAGCCATCAGTATTGTCATGAAAATAATACAGGCTTCTCACTGAATATTTCATACGGAAAATATGCACTTGCTTTGCATTAATGGCAGCATTTGATTGCTTATGCGCAAATACCTCATTACAGGACTAGAAAGCTTTTTGGGGTTTGAAGTTTTAGCATATTCTCCGGGTGCTTCTAGTTTTGGGAAATTTTCAATGTCATGAAGACATAGTGCATCGCTAACTTACGATGCTGCTTAATTACACATCTAACACACGCTGGTGATTGATCGGTGATCGCACGGCTTAACTGCTGATCCACAATGCTGTAATATAGCTGTATCAGTGACGGCATATTATTCAAGACGTATTTACACACAGGGAATGGGGGCAGTGTGAGGATGAGACAGAGTGGGAAAGGGGGAGAGGAAGATAAAGAGAGAGAGAGAGAGAGAGAGAGAGAGAGAGAGAGAGAGAGAGAGAGAGAGAGAGAGAGAGAGAGCGCGAGGGAGAGCTCGAGGAGCGATGAGCGATGGACGAGGTGTGCAGACGTCGAGCCGAACGGCGGATGCGAAAATAAACG